TTCAGGTGCACATCCGTGTGGCTTCACCTCCCATAAGATTTCCTTGTTACATGGGAATAAACATTCCAACTAAAGAAGAACTCATTGCCAACAGACCTGAATTCCGTGATCTTGCAAACTATATAGGTAAATGTTCCTTGAGTTTTTTGTTATTTTGTTGTTGGGTGGTTTTTTGGGGTTTTTTTTGAGAGAGAAAGTTTTCACTTATAGGTATTTTACAGTCTACTTTAAAATAAAGCCCAACACAGCAAGGCAATAGTAGCAAAAGTGACTAAAAAATTGCAAGGTTGATAAGCTAGGTCTCTGCTTTGTGAGTGCCCTACAGATCAAACCCATTTAGCTACACACTTTTTTAAACAGAGTTAGGGAGCTGTATTTCTCAAAACAATAGAAAGTATTAAAATAATTGCATAAGCATAAGTTGCAAATAAAGTATGACAACGAAGCTCCCCAACACTTAAAGCTCCTTCCAGGAACCTTCACAATAAGGAGTTACAAGGAATAAAATAAGTCCGATAATGAAAAGCGGATGTAGTTTCACTTTCATGAGATACTCACAAAAATATGTTCAGAATTTGTAAACACCCACTGATTTTTCTACAAATTTAAATTTATGTAAATAATTTTAACTGCATTATATATTTTGCTTTGAAAGAAATGACATATGAAACCAAGCAAAGAATGTTGAAAAACTTCTCAAATTTTGAGTCATGTTTGCAGCAGAACAAAAGTAGAATCAACAGTTGATGTTCCACTGTAAACTCCAATTTCATGTGTTAAATACTTACTCTAATACCCTAAAATTATTGTGAAGGCATGCTGAAATATTTCAAGTTTGTAAGATCTCATTTTTAAGTGTTATTCACCACATAATGACTGCAAATGATAGAAAACTAATGATCTATCAAACTTTCCTACTGCTAGAAAATTTGCATGAACTGCATAATGAATTTTTTTGAACATGATGGTCTTCCCCTCCTCCAAGTCCCAGTGAGGTTTTGTAGTCATCAGTGCTCAGATTTGGGAAGCAGTAGCCACACACACGTCTGCTTCCAGACCTGAACTAGGGTCGCTCTGGGACCCTGCAGGGAGTTTAGTGAGTCTTAATACTGGACTTTGCTTCTGTTTCTCTAGTATTTGTGATCTATTTGTTCCCAACTCAGAACATTCTGTCTAGATTTCAGTGAGTTTGCTTCCTGCACAAAGCATTTGAGAAGGGCAAGGCACATTATGATCTGATAATTTTTCAGTCATTCCCTTTAAGTAAGGTGATCCACCTGGCATCCATATGATAATGCAACTGTATTTCCAAAGAGCATTGCATTTAGTACAATATTGCAGCTTTAACCAATGAATTCTTTATTTCCTCTAGGAGCAGACAGTGTTGTCTATCTTTCTGTGGAAGGGCTGGTATCATCTGTGCAAGAAAGCATCAAAGAAAGACAACAGAACAGCCCTAAAAGCCAGAAGTCATTTATTGGGAAGATTGGTCATTGCACAGCATGTCTTACTGGAGAGTATCCCGTAGAGCTAGAATGGTGAATTTTTAGTGGATGGACATCAGTTCATCTCTTGTTGAATGTACCTTTTTCAATGATGCCTTCTTGCTAAATAGCCTCCTTGCATTTAGGTAATACATAAACCTTATTACAGCTAACTGTAATTACTGTTACTAAAACACATCTTTAAGTAAAGACTTACAGGAAGTCTTATGTGCTGATGAAAACAATGTAAACAGATTAAAATACAAAATCATGTAGTTTTGATGCACATTTGTGCCTTCTGTTTTCTCACAAAATGCTATAAAAACCAAAGTTTTTTTAATTATGTAGCAGTCCCAGAGTTTGTTGCTTCAGTCTTGCCCCGAAAGATATATCCGTTAGACTTGTTCACAAATCATGAATTGTGTGGTGTAATTTCAAATTATCTTAATGCAAAAGCATCTGAAGGTTGCTTTTCTCCTTAGGAAAAATACCAGATTCTGAAGAATCAAATTGCTTCCTCAGCAGTTCTTGCTTAGACTTTTTAAGAATGGAAGTACCTAACTTTTGCATATATACCTAAAGAGCCTTTATTAATCGAGGCCTTTGTAACAGATTCTATGCACATAATGTCTAACATATAATTTTAAAAAATGAAGACTCAGGGAAATGCTCAGCCAAAAGCTCTCTAGTTTTGTAATTCTAAAATTCTTTTTTTAGAAGTCCAGTGTAATTATATTATCTCTGTGTGCTTTTATCAGTTGGCAATACAACGTGGAAGGAGAAAAAAAAATACTTGGCACTGCTTTTCTGTTTTCTGTGTGCTTTTCATGTGTCAACGTCCAAAGCAAACTAAAAAAAAAAAATAAAAAATTGTAACAGTAAAAATTAATTTTAACAGTAAAAACAATATATCAAACACAGACTGAGTTGTTGTGGGTATAGTCCTATTTTACTACATTACTGTTGTTAGAATAAATGTAATGTTTGAAAAAAACAAGTGTTCTGAAGAACCAGTAGCTGTTACATGCATTGTGTTCAGCTGATCACGATTACACGGTTGCTTCTATGCAGGAAGGTCACTTGGACAATGAACCACTAGCTGAAAATGGAAAAGCACCTTTTGAAAACTATTGCAAATCTACGCACAATTGTAAAAATATTTTGTATACCTCATTTTTTTCACTGAATACCAGCAACTTAATTTTAGATTTTCTATTTAACATTGTGTACTTTGGCCTTATAATTGTTTTTGATGCTGTTAAAAAAAATAAACAGAAAAGTTTAAGAGCTTTTTCCTTCCCCATCATTTTCCATATAGTTGAGAATTCCATTACTGGTGATTAAATTCAGAAGGGAGTTTTCTCAGGTGGGATTTGTGGCAATTGTGCCTGATAGACAATCACAACACAAAAGTGCTAGTTAGAAAAAGAATATAAATACATTTAATGAAGTCAAGAATGGCTTGTGCAGTAGAATCAGAACCTACTTGCAGTCAAGCCCATGGGAGAACTGAGATTTGATGAGTACTGGGCTTTTACTGTGCATTTTTCACCAGAGCCCAGGTCTGCATATTCAGGGGATTTATGTGGATCTCTTCTAATTAGCAAGTTTGGTTTTTTAACAGAAGCATAACAGTTCATCTGAACAGCAAAATTGAACAAAACCAGAACGGGCTGGATGCTGATCCCCCTCTTCCAGGGTAACCAGGAAGGAGTATCAGAAAACAGAAAAACTGTTAGCAACATTTTTCACTGTTCTTCTTTCCTGCCCCCCTCCAAAAGAACAAACATTTTTTAGGAGATCAGTTGAGCCCTTAGGTTATAAATATGTGTGAGGAGCCCTTTCTACTTGAGATAAACACTTGGGTGCACAGTTTAAGAAGGCTGCAAGCAGAAGTCTGTCTGAAATTGTCCACAGGACAGACTGTAAGTGAAACTTGTTCAAATACTCTTTCAACATGCTTTCAACAAAACTCTTACTTTTGAAGTCCAGTAATAATTTCTTCAATGTGATTTGAGCATTGGGTGGCATAAATCTGGTTTAAAAAAAAAGAGTCCTATTGTCTTTCCCCCTCTCCATGTTAGACATGTGAAGTTCTGACTGCTACTGTGAGCATTGTAATTTTTAGATGCACTACATGCCGAATCTTTGCTACATATTTTTGAAAACCTTAAGTTGAAGGGGAGATACTTAAAGTGTCATTTTATTCTGACAGCTGGATTTATGCTTCAGGTTACCAGGCCTTTTTGATCACATACAGCCAACACACACGCACCAGTGAGTATGCTTAAGGAGAAAACTGGCTTTAGGTGTTGCTATTTGTATTAATGTTTTACTGTGAAACCGTTTCTGCTGTATTACCAATGTGCAACTATGCCAAACTATCACTTACAGAATGTGACAAAACAGTGGAAAGCTAATGTTTAACTTCTTCCCTGCCTAACATTAAAAATGGTTGTGAACTGATCTCGTTCTCTCTCCCTTTGCGGGGATCGCTGGCAGCACACACAGAGGCTTCTTTAATAAAGCCACCTTGAAAGCACCTCGGAGCCGGAGCAAATCATTTACCGTGAGGGTGCTAAGACATTAAAAGAGGTTGCCCAGAGAAGCTGTGGATGCCGTGTCCCTGGAGGTGTTCCAAGGCCAGGCTGGATGGAGCTGTGATCTATGGGAGGTGTTGCTGCTCGTGGCAGGGGTTGGAACTAGGTGATGATTAAGGTCCCTTCCAACCCTTAACATCATTCCATGATTCAATGATTCCAGTCACTACCCGTGCCCCCTTCCAGCACGGCTCCTGCTCCCATCACTCTCACTCCTTTGTGACGGCCCGAAATCGCAAACCGTGGGGGAAAGTGACCCCGACCACCGCCGCTGGCTCCGCGGGAAGCCGAGCGGGGGCCGCTGTCAGGGGCTGCTCCCGGAGCCGCCCGGCCGAAGGGCAGAGCGAGGTCTGCACCCCCGGCCCCGCCCGGCCATAACATTCCCGCCCCGCCCACGGGGCACTGCTGTCAGGGAGGCCCGTACCACCTCCTGGGGGGGGGGGTACGGACACACGCCGGCGGAGACGACTGAAACTGTGAGCGTGGCGGCGGAATCTTGCCCTTCGCCACAGCCACCCGTGATTGTCTTAGCCCATATCCCGTGTCCGCCGGGGAGCTGAGGATAGGGGGACAGGTTCTGGCGCGCCCGCTGTTCCTCCCTCCCTCCCTCCGTATCCCCCTCGGGAAGTGATGGCACCGCCCCGCGTGGGACTCAGGCAGAACGGGCGGTACTTGTGGATGCCCAAACGGCGCGACGGCCTCTGGCCAATGAGAGCTCGGCCTTGCCGGGATTCAGCCAATCGGCGGCGCGTCCTCGGCCGGGGGCGGGGCCGGGAGGTGTCGGAAGTGCTCCAGGTGGGATCCCGCGGAGTTACGGGAGCCGCCGGGCCGGGCCTATCCCGAATGGGAACAGGAAGTCCTGGAAGGGACCGGCGTAAGCACAGCCCAGAGCGTCCGGTCAGCCGTGCGGGCGTGGCGGGGGGGCTCGGGGGGCAGACGGGCAGTGCAAAGTGCAGAGCCTGGGCAGTCCACGCGTCGTGGTTTCTGTTTGCAGACGAAGGATTCGTGTTTCGCTGTTCCACTGAAAGAGTTATTAATTAATTAAGCTTTGCTAATGGAGATACCAATTAAGTGGTGCCCTGCTTTAAAAATAAAGGTGTAACCGTGATGAAGCCTTAGTGAATTGCTGTATCCTGGGCTTTAGGATAAGACTTATGACAAATGAGTCAAGAATTCAGTTTTACACCATTGCAGTCTAAGATGCGATAGAGCTGTGTGTTCTCTGCCGTGAATCTTTTTTTTTTTCTTTCTTTCTTTCTTGGTAGTGTTTTGTGTGCGTTTATAATTTGGTTAAAGTATTAAAAGTGAGGAGGTGACAGTGCATTCTGGTTTGTTATTCTTCCAGAGGGACTGGAGCTGCGCAGCCGGGATGACGCTTCAGGAGCTGGTGGCTCAGGCAACCAGCCTGCATTCGGATAGAGCAGCAGTTTGGTTTGATGAATGCACTGGGAAACCTCCAGCTTTCCACACCTACGCCACAGTGGTTGAGCTGGCCAGGGAACTAACAGCTTTCCTTCAGAAGCACTGTGACCAGCAAGGCAAATGTGAAATAGGCCTTTACTGCTATCCAGGGATAAACCTGCCATCTTGGATCTTAGGGTAATGGTTTGAGCGTATGCAGTGTGTGTTGGGTTTTTAAGGGTCACCTCTATTAAGGCAAAGTTTACAGTTTGTTTAGGATTTTAGTAACAACAAAAACTCAGTAATACCGCAGTAGTGCAGCATTCTTTAAGGAAAAAGATGTCAGTATTACAATCTTTTGAAAAGCCACCGCTGAAATCTTTTTGAATCAGCTGTCACTGCCGAGTAGCTGACTGAGGTACGATGCAGGGCAGGTTTAGGTGCTCGAGAACACGAGTGGCTGTTCAAGCACACAGAGTGCTGCTGTTTCCATGTCTCCATTCAGGGTCTCAGCGTTACTGCAGTGACAAACTGCTTGTACAGAGAGGAAGTCTAACTAATTGTGCGTACAGCACAGAAGCCAGCAGTAGAAGAAATGTGAAGACTTACGGGGACCGTTCATGTTTTAGTGGCTGTGCACTCGCCTTGGCTTTTTCTGTGGTGGTAACGAATTCCAGGGCTTGTCGTTATCCAAGGGCGCCGCTAGAGGTGGGCAGTGAGCAGCTACAGGGCAGGGAATGAGAGCACAGAAGTAGCTGGTGCTCCACTTGGTTTTTAGGGAAGACGTTCCAGTTACATGCTCAGATTTTCTTATGCTGTTTAGACTCGTGGTACAGTGTTTTCAGCATGCAGGCTTTTGCTGTTTTTTAAAATGTGTTCCTGCTTGTTGTATATGTATATATGAAAAGCCTATTTTTCATAGAATCATAGAATATGCAGAGTTGGAAGGTACTCATCAGGATCATCGAATTCAACTCCTGGCCCTATGCAGGACACCCCAAGAGTCACACCATGTGCCTGAGAGCATTGTCCAAATGCTTCCTGAACTCAGACAGGCTTGGTGCTGTGACCACTTCCCTGGGGAGCCTGTTCTGGTGCTCAACCACCCTCTGGGTGAAAAACCTTTTCCTGATATTCAGCCTAAACCTTCCCCAATTCAGCTTCACGCCATTTCCTCGAGTCCTGTCAGTGGTCACGAGGGTGAAGAGATTGATACCTGTCCCTCCACTTCCCCTCGTGAGGGTATTGATTTCTCTTCCTAGGCAGTAGCAGAAAGTTTTAAAATGTGGTGCTGTTGATGTCAGTGATACCTTTGTCATCACTTGGCCAGAAATAGTATTGAATGTTTTCATCTAGCTTTCATTTTTTCCCTCGATGCAAAATACCAAAAGGCAACACTGATTATTCATCCTGCTTTATTACCAAAAAAATCCTTAAAAGTCATGTTATGACTACATTTTCTAGCCCAACCAACTATAAAAGTTCAAGAAATGTTGGTGAAAATGAAGAGGATTGCCTTACTTAAAAAAAAAAAAAAAAGTTTAAAACATTTGTGTCTTCTTAGAATCCTTCAGGTTCCAGCTGCCTATTCCCCTGTTGATCCAGATGCACCACCAACCTTATCCACTTACTTCATGAAGAAAACCAATCTGCAGTATATTCTTGTTGAGAATGACAAAATAAACGTAAGTTTTCAGGCTTCTATGGGAAGCAGTAAAGAGCACTTAAAGAGCAGATATTCAGATTGTATTCTGTTTTAATAAGTTTGGATGGGATGCTTCTGTTTCTTCGTGCCAAGAGGTAGTTTTTCTCATTCAGAAAAGAGCATCTTTAAAATTAGAAGTATGAAGTGCTTCTCCTCTTCAGAAAAATCACCTTCTTTTCTATTACGCTGTTTTTGAGGCAGGCTTCTTGGGTACCAGCACTGGAAGACTTTTCCAGACTTGTCTCTTCCTATGGCAAAGTTAAGAGTTGGAAATCTGCAGTAGTTCAAAAAAAATCCTGCGTTTAATACCTTAGTTTCTTTTTGTCCAACTCCTCCCAGATTTTATACCCTCACTCATTGCAAAGGGAATAGGCAAGATTGGACCATTTAGTTATAATTCAGAGTAATTTGTCTTCTGCAGCATTCTTTTGTATATTTTCCTTTTCTTTTTCTTGCTTAGAGAATTGTTTATTTCACATTTATAAAGTCAGTGTTTGCTCATATTTTATATATAAAAACACATGAGCTTAAAACTGTCTGATATGTGTCCTCCAAAAGTAGAGGCATGAAAAATCACTGCTTGTTTGTGTGAAATGCTTTCTCCTATTTCATTGCATACAGTAGAAAAACAACAGTGCGTCCTGAGTTCTGCTGTTTGAGTTGTGTATTTTCTCTTACAGAAATTCCGGATGTCCCATGTTGGATATTTTTCCCATGATTCTTCCACAATAGAACATATTGGTTTAACTCTCTTCCAAATGAGCTCAAGTAACACTGATTTAAATTCACAAGTTGATGATATGAAAAGTAAATGTGAACCTTTCAAAGCTGTGGGTAACTCACAGCCAGGATATACCGTTTGTCCAGATCAAACCAAAGTAAAAACATCAGAAGGAGGATCCATGGACGTCAGACGGAAAGACATTTTAGCATATGTCTTGCATACATCAGGAACTACAGGGATCCCCAAAATAGTCAGGGTGCCTCATAAGTGCATAATGCCAAATATTCAGCATCTTAAGTAAGTGTGGTTTTCACTTTTCCTTTCAAACGCTTTTACAAATTTGATGTTGAGGAAATGTTTTTATTTTTCTTTTAATACTTCAGAGGAATGTAGGTAGGGTTTTTGCTAGCACAGCTTCACTTCTTCCTCCTTCCCTATGTTTTCAGATTTATTTGTATTTTTTATTTTGTTTCTAAATAGAATCACTTAACATTTTGTTTAACTGAGGGCTGTGTTTCAAATAATATGCTCTTGTTGTAAGTATTCTGGCTTGTGGCTTACAAGAAACAGATAACATGAATTAAAATAGATAAACGAAATCAATTACTTGTTCATAGTTATATTCACTGTGTTCTGTTGGCTTTTAGTCGTAATTCCTTTTTAGGCTACCCAGGTTTCTTTCTGCTTCTTTTAATACTTTAAAAAAATTATTATGGAAAATACCATCTTTTTTCTTTCTTTTCCTGTTTTTTTTTCTTTTTCAACACGCTTCTGTTAGTTTAAATATGCCTCTCAGTGAATTGTATTGGTGTGTAGCATGGTGGATATCTTTGTAGATGACAATTAGTTAAATCAATAGTTACAGTTCAGGAGCTCTTGCTCAAATTACCTGGCCTGCAAACGCCTACGTATTCAGGGCGGCCTTTAAAATCTGAGCTTTGCTACTATGTATTTCTTTCATGCTTTCATTGGTCTAGTTTGGAAGTGGTTTCTGAAGGCATGTGTCAGATTTGTAACTCCTAGCTTTCTTATTTTAGATCCATATTTGAGATCACACAGGAAGATGTGCTGTTCCTGGCGTCTCCTCTGACATTTGACCCATCTGTGGTTGAATTGTTTGTGGCTCTGACAAGCGGAGCCTCTATTCTCATAGTACCAAACACTATTAAGATGATGCCTGCGGAGCTCTCTGCTGCTCTGTTTCACCACCACCATGTGACAGTGTTGCAGGTAGGCAACACCTGAGATGACTGTCTTCAATGTCTTGCTTTGCACTTTTGCTAACACGTGCTACATTTTCATCAGCCTAAATGCTGCTGTTAGGACAGGAGCGTTCTTCTGAAGGGAGGTTGTAGCCAGGTCAGGGTTGGTCTCTTTTCCCAGGCAGCTATCATTAAGACAAGAGGGCATGGTCTCAAGCTCTGCCAGGGGAGGTTTAGGTTAGATGTCAGGAAGAAATTCTTTACAGAGAGGGTAATTGGAATTGGAATGGGCTGCCTAGGGAGGTGGTGGATTCTCAGTCCCTGGAGGTATTTAACAAGAGACTGGATGTGGCACTTACTGCCACAGTCTAGTAACAGTGGTGGTAGTGGATCAAGGGTTGGACTTGATGATCTCAGAGGTCCTTTCCAACCCATCTGATTCTATGATTCCTCAAAGGAAGTAGCTATCCCTTGTGTTGTGGAGTGTTAGCTGTTTAGAAAATTACCTCTTGATCAAAACCTCAAACGTTTTGTGATAGAAAACAATGAACTAAAGATTATTTTAAGAAACCATTAGTTATTAAAAATTAATCATATTATTTGAACTCTTTTTTCTGAAGAATCTGATAATAAGCTGTTATAGACATTTTTAGCACTTTTTTGTGGACATGATCTTAGAGTCTTTCCTCATAAACAACTTTAAATTGTAATTGTAGTCTTCATGCTAAAAGTACAACTAAACCAGTGAGATATATATATATATATAGATATATATATATATATATAGGGTGATAAAATGTCTGTTGGTTTTACCATAATGAAAGCAAGAGAATAATTGATTTCACAGCATCACATTTTTTTCCACTTAACCTGTTTATGTGAGTCTTCCTGTGTCTCTTATGTCTTACAATATCTCATATCCTATATGATTTCAATTTTAATAGTTTTAAAGTTTGCAGAGTTTACTTGAAGCATCCAGCTAAATAAGCCTTGCCCATGCCCTGTAGTCCTGTCCTGTTACTCTCATCCTGTCACTAGTTGCCTGGCAGAAGAGACCAACCCCCGCCTGGCTACAGCCTCCTTTCAGGCAGTTCTAAGAGTGATAAGGTCCCCTCTAAGGCTCCTCTTCTCCAGGCTAAACAACCCCAGCTCCCTCAGCTGCTCCTTGTAGGATTTATGTTCCAGACCCTGTTCCATTTCCTTTTCTTTTGAAAGAATGGTACTAGTTGAGATTGTAGGGTATAAATTTAGGATTAGTGAAATGGCTAACTGAAGCTTCCATACCAGAAAAAAAATCAACTAATTAAAAATCTGTTGTAATTATTCTCTGCTCTTATTTTTATTTGTCAGGATTGCTATAAATTGCAGTGGTGTAGAATTTCCTGTCGTATACAAGTTTCATGGTCAGTTTGGCTCACTTGCTTTTAGGAAAAAAATCTGAGATATTGCTCTCTATTTAGCAAGATTTTTTAAATGTGTCTGTTAAGACTTCTAAAGATCTATTTTTTAATCACATTGAGTAATAATAGAGAAAGGCAACATTTGGTGAATGAAGGTATTTAGATGTTTTTCTCAGAAAAGTGTGACTTTGTGGGGTTTTTTGATCATTGTCCTAATTAGTGAAGGAAGGGCTTCTCATCTGAATTAATGACAGAAATGTTTTCCTTGTAGCTTAACTGTTGATGAATAATTTTATGATGTTTCTTAAATTATAGAAAGACATTACCTCCACCCCTTGACTTTTTTGAGCAGACTCAAGAGATCTAAAACGTGATTATGAGGGAGGGAAGAGTATAAATTTTTTCCCTTTTTTTTTTCATTGCTATTATTCACTAAAGTTAAAATTATCAGTTGAAAAGAAATGGTCTTCATCTATTACTAGAAGAAAGGAACCTGGTAAGAAATAATTTCATTCATTTTCTAGTCCTCTTAATAGAAAAGTAGGCAGGAATAAGAGTGAAATGTGTCTGATAACGTGATTTATTGTGTTTCAGTGAAAGGACTCTACATCACCAAAAAAGTTTCATAGAAGTAGTTGCTTAAGGAAAGTGGTTTGGGTTTGAGGGGTTTGGTATTTGTTTTTATCTCTTTTTCTCCTGCTTATTTTAGAATGTGATGTGAAAGCTTTCAGAAGAACTAATCCTTGTAAACTGTTATATTTACACAAATCAAGGACAACCTAGAATCTGACATCCTAGGTATTTTTAGTGTTATGTAAAGGTGTTCTGTATGCAGGTGAATCAGATGTATAGATAATATTTTTGCTGTAACATTCTGATAAACAAGAAACTCCGCAGAAGAACACTGATTGGTGCTGATAGTATTAATGAAAGGCTTCACATAAGAAACAAAACACCAATGTGATGTATATGGTATCAGGTGGTTGATGCCATCTACTATATGTAAATGTTTTAAAGTACATCCACAATACAGCTGTGAAGTGATTATGATAAAACAGGAAGAGATGTACACATATACTGAAAAAATGTATCAAGTCTTTCTCTTCGGTTTTTGGTTTTTTTTTCCCTTTTGTAATATATATTATTCAGGCAACACCAACACTTCTCAGAAGGTTTGGAGCTCACATTAATAAATCAACAGTGTTGTCTGCAAATACTTCACTTCGTGTCTTAGCCCTTGGGGGTGAAGCATTTCCTGTACTGAATCTCTTGAAAAGTTGGAAGCATGAGGAGAACAAAACAAGTATCTTTAATCTCTATGGTATTACTGAAGTGTCAAGCTGGGCCACTTGCTACAAGATTCCTGAAGAGGTTTTTCGTGCTGATTTTAGGTAGGAAAATTCACCGTTTTCATGGCTTGGCATGTGAATGATGAAAATCACAGAAATAGAATCTCAGTCTCGTGTTACCAAAGCTACTGAGTCCTCATGTGTGTTTATACTGGTAGAAAATGGGATGTTTCAGACAAATGACATGATATATTAACATCGTGCTTAAAGCCTTGAAGACTGAAAATGGTGGATGATCACAAAGTGTTATTAAATTCTCATGTAAAACTAATTTTCATTCTGATTTCTCTGAATTCAAATATAAAATATATAATACTTTAAGACAGAAATTAAACTGGAATCCATGTAGAAGTTAAAGTTACTTTACTTTTTAAGTTTTGCTTTACCAAAGAAAATAAATTATTCTATACTTCCACTCAGAAACAGCATCTATATTCAATATATGAGGTCCCGAAAGGGCAGGAAGAGGCTGGAAAACGAAGGGAAGGAATCAGTCTTCAGTTCAACAGAAGTCTGTAATAGATAAACGACAGTGAAATTACAATTTCTTGTATTTCTGAAGGAGTCAACTATACTTATTACCAGAACATCAGTAGTAAAATAGAGTAAAGCAAAGTAGGTAAGACAGGGAAAGACTGAGTTAGAAAGCAGTTACACATGCTTATATTGGTTATTTTGGTGGAAATTTCGACCTGGGAGACTTAAAAACTAGCTGAAGCTCTTGGAGTTCTCTCAGGGTGTTTCAGGGTCCATTCAGGCCTTATTTTCTGTCCCACTGCAGGCTTTTTTTGGCATATGATAATGAAATGCATGCACATTTGATGAGGATTTGAATTTTTAATAAATTGATACATTTTTAAAGAAGAAACTTTTGTAGAAAGAATCCCAAGCATCTACTTTAATAACAATCTTTTAAAAGATTGTATGCTAACTCATTTCTAGAACAATTATTTTGTGTTCAGAAGGGAGAGATTTTTACTGTTTCTCTCTTTAATATATTTAGAACAGATTTTCCTATACCTTTGGGATCACCGCTTCTTGGAACAAAAGTTGAGGTCAGAGATACCAGTGGATCTGCAGTTCTTGAAGGCGAGGGACAAATATTTATAGGTTGGTTTATATTTCTAATTCTTCTGAGATTCTATTCTTAATTGATTAAGTTTTAATAATGATTATTTTACTTGGTGTTTGCCACTGATATGCAGATTAATATATCATTTTAAGTTTTGATTGTGTTGGGAACTTTCTGATGGTATTTTAGGTTTTTGGAATGATTTTATCTGCAGACTGTGCCTTCATTATATTGTCTTTTTTTTTTTCGTGCTTGCATTTTGAAATTATCAGCTGAAAAAATTTCTATGTAATTAATTGAATTAACTGCGTAGCCAAATTTGTACATTGTAGAAATTTAGGCATTGATGATAATCTTACAATATTTCTTATATGGTGCTTTTATAGTGCTTGTTAGAATTCAGGAAAATTTGATAAAACACTTTTTATAACTTTCATTTACAGTAAGCCATCTAATGTATAAGACCACAATCTTTTCTTGTGTAGGTGGTGAAGAACGAGTCTGCTTCCTTGATGATGAAATAACCGTACCGCTGGGTACAATGAGAGAAACAGGAGATTTTGTAAGAGTGCAGAATGGGAACTTGTTCTTCGTGGGTCGGAAAGACAATCAGATTAAACGTCACGGCAAACGTTTTAATACTGAATGTTTGCAGCAGGTAAGTGCTTGCATCCAGTGAGTAGAGTATGACAGTAGAAAAAGACAGGTATTTAAGGAACACATTGTTATCATCAGAAATGGGTATTTATTTATTTTCACCTGACTTTTAGGAATCTAAAAGGAATTTGCAGGGTATTATCAAAAATCTAATCAAATAATTTAGGGAGGAGTTTGTTCTGAGTTCTCGGGAATCTATTTTATTGAAAACTGCATAAGCACTTGAAAAGTAGTGAGCGTTGCGCTGCAATGCTTGTATAGTGATTGTTCTACCAGATTGAGTTCAGACTCTTGGATTATTTCTCGTTCATGGTGTTTTGGCAAATAATACATATATCTCTGAGGACATTTTTATGTGAAGAAGTACGAACTTCAGCTACAAGATGATTTCATGGGATGTTCTGTAGGAATGTGAGAAAAGTATGATTTTTAAAGGTGTGCTTTTTTTTCATTGTGTTTTTTGCTCCTTTTACTCTTTCAATGAACAACATTTCAAAGCAAGAGTAATATCTTTTAATTACAGGCTACTGAAGATCTTTGCCAGGTAGAAGCTTGTGCAGTGACCTGGTATCAGCAAGAAAAACTTATCCTGTTTGTTTTACCCAAAGATGATTTGGAAGAGAAAGAAACACTTAAAGAACTCCAGAAGCATCTACCAGCTTATGCAGTCCCTGATGAGATTGTAGTTATTAAAGCTTTGCCTTTAACATCACATGGTAAATGAATTTATTAAGTACCTTTGACACTTATTTTAATGATATCTATTGCTTTTTTAATATTTTTTTAATTGACCAAAATTCAGTACCTGAATTACGCTTTTGAAATATCTACATAGGATAACTAAATCCTAGCAGGAAATCATGTCCATATGCTATGTTTTCTTGATAATGTTTCATTTGAGAGTCAAACAGTAGTGGAAAAATAAGTTTAGTTTTAACACTGCACATTTCTTTTCTCAGTCATTCCTGTTGCAGTCTGCAACAGAACCCTGACTTCAGCTGGGGAAAAATCAGACCTTGAAGATGGGATTATGTGGGAGGCTAGAGTAAATTTTCCAAAACCTGACTGGGTTTCATGTCGTTGATCAACTGGGTAAAAAGATATTCATGGAGTTGACTATGAATAAGGAAATATATACAAGAATAAAGTGACTCTTTGGGCAGAGCAAGTTTTGGAAGTGTAAATGCTAAAAGAGCAATGAAAAAAAAATCGTACTTTATTTTCTACAAAGGCAAAGTTGATATATCTGAACTGAACAAGATTTACCAGAACCACCTAAACTCCAGAAGGCGTGACAGTAAGCTGAGTGACGCAGAGGAATTGTGGGAAAGATTGCAGTATTTATGGAAGGTAGTATTTTGAGCTGCCTTTTTATCTTTGCAAGTGGATCATTATACATGTGTCAGGAATTAAACAGTTCTAAGAAGTATGACTAATGCAACCAGATTTAAGCAGTACAGCTCTTTCTGTTCAGTTAATACTTAAATATAGTCGCTCTGCAGTGGCCGAGAGGGAATCGTTTATATTTTTCTGTCAGATAAAACTGTGGGCTTTGAGGTATAAGCAATTAGCATGGGAAGGATATAACGAGTCAGTAGCTTTTTCAATATTGCTTCACCTAACAAAGAAGGTACCACTAAAGGAAAGAAGGAACTGGGACATGGAAACTTTGTACAAAACAGCTACTGTGTTAGTAGTTTCTTATTTCTCAAGATAATTATGCATTGAAGAATTCTTCTCTTAAATAGATGGCACAGTTGCACAGTTGTCTCTTGGTCTGTATGATTTCTAAACTTCTGTGCTAAAGACTTGTTTTTCAAGGTATTGAAATGTGATGTCAAACAGTACTCCTTTTTTTTCAAAGGTGGACTTCCAAGTTTCACCTGGAAGTGGGATTAGCTGTGGCTGGGACTTGAACAAGTAAATGTAGTGAAATTATTTATGTGTGCTGATACTTACTGTATTGATGGCAATACAAATGGTAACTTAGAGGGATGGGATGTGCCCTAGGCCCATTATGGACAGCAAAAGGCAATTTCCAAAACCAGAGGATTTGGACTTCGCACCCAGTCTTAACAAGCAGGGAGTGCAGTCAGAGGAGACACAGGGATTGCTGTTTGTTGTAATAAGAGTGTCACATCCAAAATCCTTCATCTTTTGAAGGGGTTATAACTTGAAAAGTAGGTAGGTAAGTAGGTTACTTAAATAATTCAGAAGTAAAAGAGAACAGTTTATATAAGTTTTATTAATAATATAGCCCACTTAAACCAATTTTATCAAAATGCATCTAGGTTTTATCTACCAAACTGTCATTAATAAATGGTACTGAGATTTAAAACAGCCAATCAATATAGAGCACAAGTTGCTTTAATTCCATAGACTGCAAAAGTGGAATTGAGCAAAACATTTTGCAGTGCAGAACTAGTTTCTCCTTTCCTCCCCAACTCTTGTTCCATCACTACCTCTGTTAGCATTAACATGTTTCACATGATATTTTTTGCGGAGTAGTGAATTTACTCAGGTGTTGATTTTTAGCAGGATTTGTAGCTGTTCAGGTTGATTCTACCCAAACTGAGTTTTTATGTATGCGACACGGTGTAACACCCATGGACTGGTACCTCTTTCCTTCTTCTTTTCTCTAGTCTGTCCTCGGTCTTCTGGGTGATTCCACTGAAATTTCCAAAGATGCAGTATTTCTGTACAGTGGTGGAGACTCCTTAAAGGCTCTACGATTTTATGGTGAAATTGAGATGCTCGTAGGCAAAGCTGTGCCTGGACTTCTTGAAGTTATTCTCAGCCGCTCGATTGAAGAGGTTTACAGACATATTCTTAAAATGCTCATTACAGATGAAGACCAATTAATGAATCCTGAAAATGTTGTGAAAAGAAAATTAAGTCAGAACAGTGGAGAGGAATTCCGTGGAAAAAATATTAAACTGACATCTGAAATAGCTCCTGAGGTTACTTCAGGATTAATTCCATTTATTGCACTAAGCAGAGGAAATCATTTTTTCCCTGCGAATTTCACCAAGGCTTATATGCAACCCAAAAATACGGTACAGGTGGGAGTGGACGTGCTACAGCAGCCATCCTTTCTGCATTCCGAGGCTCCAAGTATAATGAAAAGCCGCACAGAAGGGTATGAAATGGGAGAAAGAATTTTAACAGTTGCAAACAAGGCAAATAAGAACGACTGTTCCTCTGTACAGCAAATCCATGCAGAATGTAGTCAAGCAACAATGGCAGAGTTGGCATTGTCCGTAAGGTGGAAGTCAAATACAAGGAAGTGTGTTGATGCCTCACCACTGGTTATAATACCATCTAAGGAAGAAGTATCTGCATGTGTGTATGTGGGCTCTCACTCTCACGCAATGCAGGCCATTGATCTAGATTTGGGAAAAATAATGTGGGAGAAGACCCTTGGAGACCGTATTGAATCTTCTGCCTGTGTATCCAAGTGCGGAAATTTCATTGTTGTTGGTATGTCTTTTGTTTCAGCTTTCATTTAAAATTATTTTTCTTCTAAATATGAGATGAATGACAATCGTATTTCTTGCCTGTGAATGTCCTCCATAAACACCCACATCTACCTCAAAACTAATTTACTGTAAAACAAAAAACAGGAGGAAGAAGTAATTTAACTTTCATGATAACCAGTGATGGAGCTTATCTAATATAAACACTTGTGGCTTATTCTATGCCAGTTTATTAATGAAGACTAATCAATGGGTATGGCGGTTTTTTTAGTGGTTGAGTAAAGTGTGACCTTAATGAGTTGGGTTTTTTTTACAGTATGGAGAGGTCATACAGTCTCAAAATGTCTTTAAAAATCAATAGAAGTAGAAATTAGTACATGGTACTTCATATTATTTTTCAGAGTTTAATTATGTGACTCTTCTTTTTGGAAAATGTGAAGAATATATTTGGATAATTTTTATTTTGCTTTATCATATCCATTGTCAGTGGAGTTGATATTATTTATCTTAGTGTCAACTTTTTAACTAATGCATACACATCACTGGCTAGCATAGATGTCCAGGTAGTGCATTTTTTTATGCAAAGATAACGTTACCATCTTTTTGCTTGTATTTTGATTTCTCTTAATTCCGATATAACAAATGAAGGAGTTTTTAGAATAACAGTTCAGTTTGCATTAGAAAACATACTGACTATATTCTTTCAATACCTTGGTTTTCAGAAAGGAAAACTAGAGAAAGAGGTAATTAGAAAAACATTCATAGTCTCCCTTTTCAGCAACTTTCCACATCTTTTAATATTATTACTGTAAAGTCTGATAGAAAGGCAGTGAAATAAGTATATTCTAAATGTAACCTAGAAGGAACACACAAAACAATCAACTTTGAAGTTATTAACTATCAGGAAAGACTTTGAGCTAAAACAGCGGGAGAAGCTTTGGAAAATGTTTTGAAACTCTACATCATGAATAATCTTATTTCTTTCCAGCAGTGATGCACCTAGCAGCATATATCACACCATAAATGCAAATAATAATTATTCTTTTTTCCTCTGTCATGTTTTATTTCACTGTCATTTTTTCCTCTGTCATGTTTTATTTATTTAGGTTGTTATGATGGCTTAGTGTATGTACTTCAAAGCAGTGATGGAGAAATACAGTGGACTTTTGTCACAGAAGACACTGTGAAAAGCTCTGCAGTTGTAGACCCTTCCAGTGGACTGGTCTACATCGGATCACATGACCAACATGTATATGCTTTGGATATTTATGTAAGAACACTGACTATAGAAGAACAAATATCCAACTTAAACCCTATTTGTAGTACACCAGAGGAAGCTCCACTGGTGTTAGTATTCTTAGGAGTCCACAATCACACTTCTGAAATAGGCCTGCTTGAAGTGGGATTAGGATTATGTGGCAGCAGATAGTTTAAGTGGTGTTCTCAACTGTGGTTCTTGTGTTACTAGTCCTGGATGGAACCACATCTTAACTTTCTTAGTTATTAAATTCTCCATGGGTGTTTCAGAATAGGGTACCTGCCTAGAAATAGAACTATCTATGGCTTTATGGCTGGGGAAAGAATCTTACATTCTAAATGGGTAAATAAAGGGAGATGGAAAATAAAAGGGGCAGATTCTGCCTTTTCATTATGTGAATTTCTTTTATTTACTGGAAGAGAAAGTAGCCAACAGCATATGTGTTGCTCTCATAGCACGTAGGTTGTATTTTCACTTCTTAACTAGTGTCTGCTGAGTTAAACATAGTGTTTGATAAGGTTTGACATGCAAGGGTCTTTGTAAACGTGATGAGCTCTAGCTCCAATTGAAAATTGTTTATTAATGTGTTTTCTTGTGCTTACAGAAAAAGGCATGTATATGGAAGTCACACTGCGAAGGTGGGGCTGTGTTTTCATCTCCTTGTCTAAGTTCTTTTCCACATCATCTCTATGTTGCTACTTTAGGAGGACTACTATTGGCTGTTAATCCAGTATGTACCTTTTCTTACTTGTCTTCGAGGCCAATCTCAAATTCAAATGAAACTAAAACATGTATCTGAAGTTAGAATCGCTTTTCTGATGAAAGATGACCATATGTTACCATAAAATATTTCTCACTTGGGAGCCTTGTAATTATACAGAGGGTTACCATAATAATTTCCATATTTCAGAAAGCTATCTGGTGACAAAGAGAAGTGAAATGACTTGCTTGAATTCACATGCTCACTGTAGACCAAAGTTGCAATCAGTGTCTTCTCATTCCCATATACTGCTTTATGAGGTTGACTAGTGAGTGAGAGCATGTCTGTAGATTTAGTTCCCCCATGCCTTTTCTTTGACAGAAGGATTGGAAAAAAACCACGCAGGTATCAGAATAGAATCCAGAAAGAAGCCCCTTCATTCATTTTGCTGTCTCCCTTCCATAGTCATCTAAAGAGCTGTCCCCTTAATCTCAGACTGCAGTTCTAGTCTTTGCACTGGGAAAATGGCATTCTTGATAGATGTGGAGCAATTTCATGGTTTTCTGAGGCATTGTTTGCTTACAGCTGGTCCTGCCTGATAAAAGAAACAATGACTTGAAGCAGCTGTTAACATTTTTGTATCACACAACCAACTAAGCACCTTCACCTCCCACCCACTACAAATGTCCTCAGTAATAATCAATGTAGTATTAGAAAACCAGAATGTGGTTTTGCATCCCTAGTGGACTGTGCTTAAGAAAAAAATGGGGTTTTTTTATACTGTAATCCAGAGTAACAGGTAGTTGAGAAACCCAGCTACAAATGAGCCTGCACATTCCGATTTTTATAAATAATCATAATTCCTGAGGAATTTGCAGGGTCCATTAGGAGCATATTGTGACAATCATAGTCTGGGGGTTGTGGAATTTCCTACAGTATCAGTATGACTATTAGATATACTTTGCTTCATTGGTCTGTGTCACATACAGAGGAACTGGGAATGGAATAAAAAAATTAATTTGACATTTATTAGAACTACTACTACTGCACTGTTATCATCATTACTTTGCCTTGGGGGAGGAAAAATAGGGCAAAAATGGGTATTGAGTATCCTATGTAAAGCAGTAAACATTTTGTTAGAGTAAGATTTGAAGAGTAGTTTTGCTTCTGGTCTGTATTCTGGATGGGAGAAGCCTGCTTCTCTTTGATTTTTTTTTGTTTGTTGGTTTTGTGGGTTTGTTTGGGGGGTTGTTGTTGTTTTAGTTTGAGGTTTTGTGTATTTTTTTCCCCACACTTCATAAGGGCCGTGTCAGGCTGTGATGGAAGGGTTGTTTTGTGGTACTTCATAGAGTTGTGTTAAGCATCAGATATTCCATGCTGTCACTTACAGGTGACAGGGAGCAAGCTTTGGAAAAGCCTCCTGGGAAAACCACTCTTCTCCTCTCCTCACTGCAATGAGAACTACGTCTGTGTTGGGTGTGTGGATGGAAACTTATATTGTTACACTCATTCTGGAGAAAAGGTAAAAGTCGCGTTGCTTTTTTTATGTTCATGCAAAACCCTGAATAAGACGCTTTATTAATACTGTTTTCTGACGTTTAATGATTGGCATATACCTTTTTGTGAAATAAATAGAAGTGTCTATTGTTAAAGAGGGGAGAAAGTAGGAAAAAGTTTGCCTAAGGTAATCTATGCTGTTCATGGCAAAACTACAAACTCTCAAGTTGCCTGATGCAGTAAGAGAATTTTTAGTTCAGAACTTATACCCAGAGTAAATTGTCAAGTGTAGTGTCAGCAAATGAAATGGTTTCATTTGGGATTTTTCAAGCATGTTTAAGCCACCTCTTTGGTAAGATGGTGCTTATTCAGAAGCAAATGTTTCTTAGAATGTTCATGCATTTATCAAAAAATTACCAAATCATAATTCTGGCAAAATATGCGTCAGCCTTCACATTGAATTAAATTAGAGTATTTTTTTAGTTCCGCAGAGATGAATGTAATTTGTATCTGGTGTTAAGACAACTGACACCAGTTTTGTTTGTTGGCCTGACATGCAGTAGGCATGGCGATTCCTAAGCCTTTTCTGGTTATAAAGTATAAGTTAGCCCATGCCCTGCTCTCTGTCTGCTTGCAGCAGTGTTGCAGAACTGATACTCTCCTGGGGAGGGATCTGCACACCATTAGCATGAGCAAAGGAATTCTATATTACAAAAGAAATATCTGCCTTTCTGGCAAAGAATGGCATATTAACAGGATTCTTTAAGTTCATTACTAATTATGGTACAACCACCCAAAAATATCCTTTTCCCAAAGTGACCATCTTTATGTGAGCTTCACATAAGGTAGTAACTTTTCCATCTTCCACATCTATTTTATGAGACTTCTATTGCTTACTCTGTGTGTAAAAACTTAACTTGTAATTTGACAAGGATTTAGCAGCCTTCACTGAAATCTAGTATGTCTTTGAAATAAAATGCTCTCCTAGACTACAAGTAGTCTATTAAAAAATTATAGTTGCTGTCAAACTGATAATATGAAAAACCTTTGATAATGGGTGGTTATGTTCTTTCTGTAGGTTTGGCAGTTTTCCACTAATGGGCCAGTGTTTTCATCTCCATGCCTCTCAAGTTTAACTAAGCAAGAAATATTTTTTGGCTCCCATGATTGCTTTATCTACTGCTGTAACATGGAGGGTAATTTACTGTGGAAATTTGAAGCCACTTCAAGTGTGTATGGAACACCGTTCATTTTCCAAAGTGATGACTTAAGTAACAAAATTCTTTTGGCAGCAGTATCTACAGATGGCAAAGTGTGGATCCTGAATGCCAAGACTGGAACAGCACAAGGAGTAGATAAGCTTCCAGGAGAGGTTTTCTCTTCCCCTGTAGTATGGGGAACAAAACTTGTTGTTGGCTGTAGAAATGATTATGTTTATTGCCTAGATCTGTATATAACAGGAAAAAAATAACAGTTAAGTTGTTAGGCTGCTTTATTTTTATTGTTTACATTTGTAAACTAAGAACTTACATGTGCCCTCTACCTCTGCTTATTTTGCTGCAGGGAAGAGCTGCCCCTTGCAGGCTTATCAGGTAGCATTTTGCATCAGGCAATGTCCAGAGTAGGCTGTGCTGATGGAAGGAGGATGGCTGCTCAGCACCTTCCCAGGGAGGGGAGAATCTGCAGTAAGATGCCATACTCCGCAGCTTGAAACAGCGTGCTTGTCTCTGGTGGAGGAATCTGTTGCTTTCTCTGAGTCCAGCCTAGCCTCTTTCATTTATCAGGCTAGTGTTTGTCTAGCCTAGCAAGGTTTCTGTGCCAAGGCAAGGTAATCCAAGTCCTTTTTTGAATCTAACTTTTAACTTGATTTTTGAAGACGTAGCCTGCATTGCATATACCTGGTAGGAGTGACCTGTTTACTCGAGTTTGTACAAACTGTATAGTTCTTTTGTAAAGGACCTAGGCCCTCCATGACTTCAGTTCATTCTGGCGTATACGTAACTCCGTCAAAGTTAGTAGGAGTTACTTCCTGTATTCTGAAATGGAGAATATACTGTATATATTTATTAAATTTCAGTGACAGGTACAGTATGAGTTCCAAGATGAAGTGTGTGCTGCTCAAATCAACCATTGTCAAATAATTTTTAAGTGATTTCAATGAATGCAGTGTTTTTACAAGAACTTTAATAAATCGTTGTGTAAATTGGGTTTGGTTGTCTTTAACATCTTTAAAGTACGTACCAGTGGCCTTACTAATGCAAATCAAATATTTGCAGTGACAAAAGTATGCTTCCCTGAAAGCATTTCTGATTATGAGTCTTCCAAAAGAAGTATAAGAGAAACTATGATGTTATTCTCTCTGATGAGCCATCCATCTACTTTGAGTCCTATATTGCTTTATGACATTTGGTTCCTCCATTTTATTATTAGCAGAAATGCATAAGCAAGATGTGTAGCACTGTAAAAAGTTCTATTTGTAAAGCAAATCTGAACATGATTAGCAAAAGGAGACACAGAGTACATATATCGATTAGATAATTTTGACTGGGTTATAGTTTAATAAGAATTAAAATGACATTAGTATAATAAACAATTGCACTTTAAAACATTTGAAAAATTAAAAAAGTACACAACAAATACCCCACAATTATACATCTTATAGTTTTTGTACATTACTATATGAACATAGAGGTTAATCATATATAACCTTGTCGGAAGAAATGGTGTTTTGTGTTTGTATAAGTTACAAAAATTTGAGACAATATACTACATAGTGGCTTGTTCAGTTCTTAAAATATTTTTGCTGTTTTAAACTGGGTAGTAATGTTTTGCATTTATTTTTACAGTTTTCCAATACTTTATCAGAAATGGTTGCAACAAAGCTAAAGCAAAGTAACACTTCACTTCGTTGGTATTTAGTGCAAATTTTTGTTAATTTAACATGAAATGTCACTGTTGCACATGTACACTTTAGAAATGTTTCCATCGAGTACTGCACATAACAGTTTCCATTGTTACACTAGATACCTTTATGGTTGAAAAAACTCTCTGCTTTGAAGCTTCAGCTTAAGAACATCCATAAGGAAAGCTTATTCTATGTGCTGTAAATGGATTGTATTGGAAAATTGCATCCTTATGTCATGCACAATAGCACCTAACTTTGCTATGCTTTTCAGAGTATTTTTAATCCTGATTTACTTCGCCTTCTCTGTATGTCTACCTGGCTCCCCCTCCCAAGGAATAATTGTAAAGATGGATTTCAGGCAGTTTAGATTACAAATAGATACTGCAGGCAAACCAACTTGGAAAAAAAACTTAACTTGCAATGCACTAATTCCTGGTGCTAGCAAAGCAAAAAGAATTATGGGGCCAATTCTTTCTTCAGATGTTGAAGGCATTAAGTTTTTTTTCCCCCTAAGCATTTGAGAGCAGCATTGCCCCCTTTCTGTTTAAAACATAGTAATTACTTATATTAACAAACAGTAAAAAGTTACTTTAGAGATTCCGTTTTAAATATGAAACTGAGCAAAACTGATGGCTTTGGACCAAGAAAGCCCATCTTGCTGCTGCATATCTACTCCATCTAACACATCCACTGTGTTTGTGCTATTGTAAACCATGATACTGAGCTGCTGTTTGGTGGGAAAGGCTTTACTCGACAATGACTTGCTGTTTGATTCTGGGAACAGGAGGATACAACAGGTTTCATTCTGTTTTCTGCATAAAGTGCTACTCCTCGTGCTGCATACAGCAGTTTGGCTAAAACACTTCCATGAAGCATATGTGGTATCATTCTATAATGATGTGTGTTCTTTTTATGAAAATGTCTCCTTTTATGATGTTATCTCAAAGGAACCTTTGAGCCTTATGGTTATAAGGAGACATTCAGATTTTTTTAAAGTCTTCCTTGTAAAACCAACTGAAGTGACCTATTTAATGGGGTGACTTTTAAAAATGCAGACCTAGCTATTTTGATGGGATGTTGAGGATAGCGACATTTTTATTACATCATGGACTTTATCCTTTTTTGTAAGAGAGAAAGAGTGAACATTTTTATTTTAGTCAGGTGAAGTAATAAAGTGTTCAATTGCCATGGCAGATACCTGAGATGAGGTAAGTAACCTTTTCTAAAGTGATCTGGCTGTATTGGTCAAAGTACAGGAAGTTATCTGAACTACCTGAAGTTTCATGTGGAGTAAAATCGGGAAGAATGCCGAGTTAAAACTCCTGAGACTCTCACTGACTTAGCTTTCAGTTCTCGGTTAACTTCAGTTCTGCCAGTCTTACTCCTGTGGGAACTTAACTGAGACAAATTCTACAACTACATTTGCACAGGAACAGTTTAATTACAGTCATTCAATTGATTTAAAGTTGTAATCTGCAATCACTGTCTCTATGCATCTTAAATATGGCCAAGCACAAACAGTGATGCATTTAAATGACTAAAAGAAACACTGACTTCCTGGCTTCTTTCTGAAAACTTAATGGTATTCGTTTAAATAACTGTGGGGTTTTTAAAGTAGGATTAATAGTTTTCTTCCTAGGAATGAGGGAATATAGATGTAGTGTATTAATACTACGATGGAAGAAATTACCTCAGCATTTGGATGGTACCATCTTTCTCCTTATTATTTGCATGTGGAACGGTAGATCCCGAAATTCTTCATTAGGGAAAAAGCTTTCAAATAGCAGGCAAAACTGACAGTTCATACAGTTTAACATTTTTTTTTTTTTAATTATGAATAAAAGAAGGGAACATGCATCTTGCCTTAATTTTAACAACAGACTGCTGAAAAAAAAATCTGAGATCTCGATTAAAGTACAGAGATCTAAAATTCCAGAACCGAGTACCCACAGAATTTAAGAAGCATCTGAACTGAAGTTCTGGCCCTTATGATGCTCGCTAAAATTTATATCCAGTATCTGAGCATTCTTAAGTTCTTGAGAGTCTGGCTGTGAAATTTTCGCCATGACCTCATTTAGCTATTTGTCAAAGCAATGGAATATATGACTTGAGTAGGTTTAACAGTGAGCTGGAGCAAAATGGTAATCAGTTCAGTTTTCAGTCCTTCCATACATGCATTTTCAATTTTGTCATGTGTAAAATGCAGAATAAATAAAAGAAAGCAATCAATAGTCAGCAATAGAGATGTAGTTGTACAGTTTACTTGATGATCTGTGGACAGTCACTCCAGGCTTTTGCTTTCCTCTTGGCTAATGCAAGCCAGGCTGGTTCTGTTGACACAGGGTTAGCATCAGGCGTAGAGAATCTCTTGGCCACCTCTTTTGTCAGTGGGGTCGATGGAACAGAATCTGAAATTTCCACTGGTTTTGATGTGTGGGGAGAGGAAAAAGAAAAAAAACATTAGTTGAACCTGGTGCTTTTTTTGCAGGATTCTAAAGATTTCCCTTATATGTGAAGATGAGCTCAGTTGGTTAGAGCATGGTGCTGATAACACCAAGACTGTGGGTTTAATCCCCATATGGACCATTCACTTAAGAGTTGGACTCAATGATCCTTGTGGGCCCCTTCTAACTCAGAATATTCTGTGAAAACCATACTCAGTATCAGATCATGCCTCCTTAACTGTTGTTGGTTCTATATTCTGATCCAACACTTGATATTTATTTCTAACACTTTTAGATAAATCTTACTGTGTTTGCATAATAATCAAGTGAGGAGGAGCTAAGTTTCCTTTTTCAGAGGTGACTCCAAATAATCTAACTCACAAAAACAGGGACAAAATTTTCAGTCTCTGTGAGAGCCAGAGAAAACATTTGAGAAAACATTTCCAATTTCCCAGTGGTCCTCTTTACATAAACTATTTTAATTACATCTTCAACATCCAAACAATGGCAAGTAAAGCTAGGGGTTTTTTTCTCTTTGGTAATACAGCTGCTGCACAGGTTTAAGCCAACTGTATTCAATAGGATTTAGAGTCTCTCTTCAGATTAGTGTTCTTAAATAAACATAGAGAGGAAAGTGGTCCTATAGTTCCCTGCCTCAGTTAACCCTGCCCGTGAGACTATCCTGAAAAAGAAATCTGCTTTCTCCACTAGCTGTTTGACACATTTTCTTCTAAGTAGTATCTTTAAGACAAACAGCTGTCTCTGCAAGAAAATGTGTTGAATAAAGACCTGATTTCTAAGAAGCAGTTTCACAGAGCAGAACTGTAGAACATAACATAGTAGCCAGATGGGAAGATTAACTCTGAGACAGTGAATGCCCTTGAAAGCAACCTGGATAGAATTGTCTGAAACCTATGGAGTAACTCTAAAAATCATAGTTACAAAATAACTCCTCGCTCCTTACTCCTGTGGGAACTTAACTGAGACAAATTCTACAGCTACATTTGCACAGGAACAATTTAATTCCAGTCATTCAATTGATTTAAAGCTGTAATCTGCAATCACTGTCTCTATGCATCTTAAATATGGCCAAGCACAAACAGTGATGCATTTAAATGACCTTGCACATTTTCTTGTTTTGGAGCCAAAAAGATTGTGGGGTTTTTGTTGGGTTGGTTGGTTGGTTGGTTGTTTTGTGGGTTTTTTGTTTGTTTGTTTGTTTTTGTTAAATGTTCAGATTCAGTCCAAATTCCTTTAGTTGAATTTCATTTTCAGGTTTTGAATGCTTTAAAAAGCTTTAAAATTTCATGGATGCCAAAAATTGTTCATTTTTTTCTTTCTAGTGTGTCTTTAATCATACATTTTTATCTGTAAGAAAATGAACAGTAGCAGCAGCTACCGCTGTAGATGGACACTTTGAAAAGTTAATTATTTTAAATGCTACGGTAATTTATGCTATTTTAAAGGTTAGACACTCTTATCGGTTCCGGTTGTACAAAACTGAAGTGCAAGTCTGAAATACACCTTTAAGTTTTGGGTGTTTTTAATGTCCTTAAAGGAGGACTCAACAAACTCATTTTAAACATGTCCTAGGCTGGTCTTCTGTCTTAAATGCTCTTCTAACTGTGGGAAACCCAAATTGGTCTTGTCTTCTATAATAAACATATACTTATATATAGATATTTGTGTAGTTGCTAATGGCTGCCTGGTTCCAAATGTAGCCAGTAATCACAGGGAGATCCAGTCTCTGTTACCTTTAGGGCCAGTAGAGCTGTTTCACTTTAGGTAATTGAAAATTGGTAATTCCTCCTCAGTTTCCCCCTGAACTCTCATTCTAGTGCAGAGAGACTGATCTTGGAGAATTGGGTTTTGACCCTTCTTTGGTCTAATTTGGCATCATCTGTTGTGCTGGAGTTCGATTTCTGCTAGAATTGACCATGTTTGGCATAACATCAGATGGTTTGGGTTGGAAGGGACCTTTAAAGGCCAACCTTAGTCCAACCCAAGATGTTGCAAATTCTCAGGGATATCTGCTGTGGTGTGCAGCTGCAGTGTGAACATCCCAGCTGCTGAACAACTGAATATAGACAGGCAGAGGGGTTATTCAGCTTGGGACAGTCTGCAGTGTAGGAGGAGCACTGGTTTATCCTTTACTGTTACAAATCAGATAAACGAATCACCTCATTGCTTTCAAAACTTGCATTCCGTAGTTCCCTGGTTTGGAGTGGTACTGACTAGATGCAACTGATACATGTATTTACTTTCAAAGAAGCCCATGATACTTACTCTGCAACTTTTAAAAAGGTTTCTTCAACGCCTATCTGTACTCTTCTCCAAAACCTTTAGCCTAGGAATACTGTTAGCTAGAGAAATATTAGGCAAGTTTCTATTTCAACAATCACCTTATACCACCCCAAATATTATGCCCTGTGGAATATTTTCAGCTTAACTGGAGTGACAGATAAAGCAGTAGGTTCTGGTTCCAACCTTCCATACCAAATATTTGACTGGTAACAGGCTAGCTTCAACTTTAATTTTTGCATTTTTCAATGAAATGAGAATACTCATTTCCAGTACTGTGGGGTGAATACTTCTCCTTGACAAACTGGGAGGTGTGAGAACACAATATGCTCATTTCCTACACAAATACATTTTGTAGAAGTTAAATATCATTCCCCTGCTGTGCTAACCCCAACCTAAAGGCAAAAGAGTACTGCAATTTCAATTTACAATAAATCAGATCCCTCTAATGTGCATTAGTCATGTTCCAAAAATACTGTTGGGTACAGTTTTGGGAGACAGCCTAATTTTGTTAACTTGAACTGGGGCAAAACTAAGGAACTGCAGTAGTGCAGCCTTAATAACCTGGGGAACCTGCTAAAAACCTTTTAAAATTGTGTATTTCTAGCATACAGGCCAGCACATCAGACGGGGACAAGTTGTGTTGTTCTGTGCTGAAAGCAAATTAATTTGTAATTCTAGGGCTAATATATAAGAGGGAAAAAATAATGCGTTCACTTTCTCCAAAACATGCAATACCATTTCTGAAGTGCATTATTCCTAGAGTGGTTCTCAACCTCTCACTGTACCTGTCACAGAAGTTGGAAGAGTGTTTGACTTCTTTAGCTGCTCCCTTCTTTCTAGTCTTGACACAGCAGTCTCAGTTTTCTTCTCCCCTTCTTGAGTTGTAGATTTCTGCAGTGTGCTTGTTTTGCTGCTGCTGCTTTTGTTATCTGTCTGATTACTTACAGCAGCCTAGAACAGGGAAGGAGAACTGCTAAATGCAAAACAGTCTCTCATGTGATGGCTACAAATTTGAAATGACACACTTGGTTCTTTCGTTCATCATGTGGCCTTTCTTTAACCTTCATTTTTGGCAAAGGATCACAACACTGATACTTCTAGAACCAACAGTTATTAGAAACTGTAAAAAAAAAAACCACCACAAAGTTAAATTTGTCATGTTGTCATTTCAGTCAGAATACCGAACAATTTGAGCCAGCCCTGCCTGTTAAATACAGCACTGAAACACACTGTGCATCTGTGGGCAACTTCACACACACTGGTTTTCTTCTACCAGTTGCCTATATCAGTGGTTGTGCATGTATCCATCAGAAATTTGAGTCTCATAACAAACATCAAAATATATTTAGTTATCCACATAATCTCCCTTTTTACCATCTGTGGTATCTATATACAGCATCACTGTTTGCGTAGCATCACTTTGGTGCTGTAAGTGGAAGTGCTTTCCTTACTAACATGGAGAATACATAACTATTTGGAGAATAGGGGAGAAGTGATACTTGAATTCAGTGCCTGCATAAGGCATTTGGATGTATCACGTGATTGTTTATTTCTTTCATCTATCTGTATTTTATCCAAATAATATATGTTACAATAAAAATAAATTCAGACTTACTAATATTCACCTATAAAGGTGTATTTCAACTGTTATTCCCCAAGCATTAAAGGTTAACATCTTATTTACTCAAGCCCTAAAAGAGCCACGTTGCACACAATTTTTCTGTTCCATCACCTGCACAGTTGTGCTTATGATTGTCATTTTCTACCACCTGATATCATCAAAGTTTACACTAAAATTGTCACACTGTTGTGAAATTTTTTTTCCTGGAGGTCTTGGTTTTGCAAAAGCAAACTCCAGGCTTTCAGACTACTTTTTACTCACTGTCATTTTAGCTTTTATTAAGTCTTACAAATGAAGCATTAAAAAAAATGCTCCACATAACAAAATTAGCTAACAGTTTCATCATGGTGTCAGTATTTTTAATAGGCAGGTTCCTAAAGATTGCTTACATTTTCTTTAGCCAGCTTCTCTGCTTGCTTTGCCTCTCTGGCTTGTCTCCTCTCTTCCCTTGTGGCTTGCTGCTCACGAAATCCCTTTTGCTTTTGCAGCGCTAATGTAATCCAAAGCGGTTGTGAAGTTTCCACTTTTTCCATCAATTTAGAGCCATCTAAAGAGTGCCTGCTCTGGAGGACAGGCTTTTCTGAAAGAAAGCATGACAAGAATTGATTGAATAATGCACATCTCTTGTCTCAAAGAAACCTACAGGACTTTTGTACCTTGTAGAAACACTGGAGCTAAGCCCATTGAATGTTATGTCAGTCACAGACCCTCGTGGACTGCATGGCAAAGCCTGAAACAGATCTTATGCCTCAGGAATAAGACCTAATTTGACACACTCATACAGCTGTCAAAATGTATCTTTTTTTTCTTTTTTTTTTCTTTTTTTTTTTTTTTTTTGGTGAAAAAGCCTACTCCAGACTTGCAGCCTTATTTATTACAAATATTTGCACTGTGTGGGATATTTGGTGAAAGTGATATCTTTACCTTGATTTTTTATAACTGATGAAAGGGATCCAGCCACTACATACTGCAGCTCCCTGGTTTTTCAGCCATAATTAAGGGAAGAAGAGTGTCTGAACTACACACAAAAGAAGGGGACTAAAATTACCTAGTGCTGTAAATTCAGTCTCTGTTATAAAAGCTTTTTTTTTTTTAAATTGGCACTTGAGCATTTGACTTTCTGCACTCTGCGTGGAGCTGGAGCATCCAGTATAGAACTGTGAGTGTCAGGGAGCAGCACTGGGGTGCAAAGGTGCTTCTGCAGAGCTCAGTGAGCACAGAAACCCTCAGCTGGCCCAGACCCTGCTCTCCCAGCCAGTAGCTGTGCGTCCAACTAGTTTCCATAAATCTTCATTTTAAAAAAAATGGAATTCAAAAGAAAAAGCGTAAAAAAATTGTTTAAAAAAAAAAAAAAAAGGGCAGTTCCACTGAGAAGTGGCTTTAGAGGTGTCCTGATGCTTGCAAAATTCAAGAATGAAAAAAAGTTAGGATTTCCCAATGAAATGCTTAATTCTTTTGGGTGCCCTTATGCTGAAAGAATGATTTTCTTTCTTGTACAGAATACTACTTCAGGACACAGGGGCTTTCAGCCCTTCTTTAAAGAGGCATTATGACTACTGTAATTGTTTCTACTACTGAAGAGTAGCTCTGAAACGCAGAGTCCCGTGCTCAGCTATACTGGGTTAGAAAGAGAATTTGCCCAGGATAAGGGAACCTAAATCTTAACGTTTTTTAAACCAGGTAACAGTACCCTAAAAATTAAAACCAATAGAGTGTAAATTTTAAAAGTTACACCTCTGCTCTGCTGACATCATTACATGTGGACCACAGAGTCCATCCCCTGACTAACCAGGTAACATCTCTAGAAGGAAACACACACTTCTGTTACTTCCCTGAAATTAACTTTCTCAAGCAGGTTGCACTGGTCACACTGAGTTTGTGCGTTTCTGAATTAAATTGTGGGGATAGGAATCCCCACTCACTCAGACAACCCTAAGCAAAGTAGTAGTCCTCCACAAATAACGTGCTAGGTAAAAATTATAGCTTAAGACCAAATGTCTTCTTCTGGACTTTAAACATCTCATTTTGGAAATGCAGACAATAGCTAAATACGCTTTGAAAAATACATACCTTTCTTCAATGGCTCAGGCTTTTTGTCATTTTTTTCTCTCCATGGAATACTTAGAGATGGGAAAAATGACTTCTTTTCTTTGACTTCTTCCTCTTCATTTTTGTACTCATCGGATGGTGTGGGGTGCACTGGATTTGCTCTGTCCTCTTTTCTCCAGCCACCATCTGATTCAGCTTTAACCACCCTCTGCCCCAGTGTTTCAGATAGGTTTGATCTGTTCATTTTAGAGAGAGGAGATGGTGGTGGGGTTTGGCTGGTGGGTTTTGGAGCTAAAGCAGGTTTCTGTGGGACCACTGACTTGCACGCTGGTTTCTCATGAGCGAGTAAAGCACTCTGGCCAGTGGCTGGTGGGATCACTGGTATGCCCACTGGCTGTGAAAACTCAATCACAGTAACTGAAGAGTCTTTTAAATTACCAGGGACATTTGCTCTCCCCACATTAGGGGATGTACTCTCTTGTGGAGCAAAAACAGCGGATTCTTTCTCACCTTCTGTTGAGGTGAGTGGGTCAGGCACACCATCAAAACTGTCTCCTGCACTGTATCTTTTCTTTTTCCTTTGCTCTGCCTGTTGATCATAATGGAAACGTAAAGAGTAGTTTGTCCTTCTTAACTTTATCCCAAAAGGAGAAACATTTTCTTCTCCATTTGGTGATGGTTTATCTGCTTTTTTTGTGCTGTTATTTTGCTGATTTTCCAGAGCACTGGGAAGTTCTGGCTTAGATAATTCTTTACCTGGAGAATGAGGAAAACTTGGAACAAGGAAAGATGGAAGATCTTTTGCAAATTTACAGCCTTCTGTATTGTCTGTCACTTCACTATGGGTTTCCATTTTCTCCTTAGCCTTTTCAGCTGAATTATCCTTAAAAGTGGTAGCCATGTCCTTCAAATCAGCGGATGAGCCAGTGTTTCTCCCCACAGCCTTTTCATTGCCTTTTGCAACACTTACATTCTCAGGGTCTGAATTGGTTTTTGAAACTTCTGAAAATTTCTGCCATGCTGGTGTTATTGAGAACTTTGCATTTGCAGAAAGGGTTTTCCTTAAATTGCCATGGGGAGCACCCCGTCCTCGGGGCGTCCAGTCGTCACTGTGCCTGCAGACACTAACTCGGTCTCTCTCATTATATTTGTTGTTTTCTGCATTCTTTAGTATTCTGGAGCGAATAGAGGCCCACTCAGCTAGTACAGCCTGGTTGTTCAATGTCTCTTGAGCTTGTTTAATTTTACTGCTGCTAGGTTTGGTATCCTGTTTTTTTTTCAGGGACTTCTCCGGTGAAGGAATTTCCACAGTTTTCCTCTCTTCCGTTAAGCCAAGTAATGATTTGCAAGCCGTGTCCTTAATCTGGTTCAGGTTAACTGCTGTGCCACACAGCTGTGCTCCAGTAACCAAAATAGCTGTGTGTGGTACACACGCAGATGACGGGAGGGTATGAGAGCCCTTACTGATCGTGTGCACCCTGCAGTCTTTGACAGATGGAGAAGA